GAACACCACCGGCAAAGAAAGGAGAATGTAATGGTCATTTCTACCTTATTAGCAGTCGGCAACCAGCATAATAACCTGTGTGGACTGCAGCGAAAATGCACACACCCTCCACATTGACTAGCAGTCCTTCAGAACCGCGTCCATGCTCTCCCCCCTCGCATCGCGAGCCGACCACACGATCTGCCGGATGCTCAGGCTACTAGACCAGCTCAGGCGCTAAAACATGATGTCAGTAGACGAGTGACTGTATACCACTGCAACTGGCAAACTACCGACAGGGTTTTATGGATTACGCAACTCCAATCCGTCAATCGTTTCCCTACTGGATGGTTTCGCTTACAATCCTACAGAAAAATTAAATGTCTTCGAGAGAACTGAAGTACCTCCATAAATCCAGCCTTCCAATTCCTGTTGGAGATCCGGGGGAAAAGTCTGTTCAACGACATGGCTTCACAATTCACATCTATCCCATTGGAACTGTTTTTTGACGTTTTATAGAGATAGCTTGAAGAGAAGCACGAGGAACATTTGCACGTTAAGTGGCAAGCGCACGATGAACTCCAAGAAACGTCGGTGGGTTCCCCAGAATCCAGTCCAGTTACAGAATTGGTCCTGCAGGAGCTAGAGAATAGTGTTTTCCAGCCCAAATGCCAACCTAGGTTTGACGCCAATGCGTAACTGACGCTTTCGTTTTACTTGAGAAAGATAGACTATCAGGCTTTCAAGACCTGCATACCATCATCTTTGAGATTTACTTTGCAGTGGACAGTTGAGACTGACCTTCTTCGACGCTCTGATCATACACGCACGCATTGTGGAGCACATTGCGCCGAAACTCGACTAACGCATCCCAGACTCTCAATAGTCATAGCAAGTAGCTGGTGGCGCACAAGTGTGATTCTGTTAAAAGTTTCTTCCACGGAGCATGAATGCGCTGCCGCTACCTGCTTAAACGAGTACAGAGGCTCCAATGTCTTCCGAATTCCTTGACAAGAGTCAACTATCCAGGAGCTTAAATCGGTCACTGCCTCGATACCTGTCCAGAGAGAACGGATGGGAGAGAACCACCAAGGCGTTAGCCCCTTTTGCCATGTATAAAGTATTTATTAGAAGCAGCAGAAGATATTGCCACCGGGTTTAACATCGTCTGGCAACTACAAAACTCACCGGAGTCATGCAGATGAGGGAGATACTTGAAACAGCTTGGCAGTCTAGTGTAGTTTACCCAATTCTCTGAAACGACGCTCAGTTCACGAAAGTGCCAACAAATTGGGTCGTTGGGAATAGAGGCCTACCATCCCAAGACACTATCCAGATCCTGGATGGAGATCACGAAGTAGACTTCACGGCTACAGGAATATTAGTTTGAGCTGCCTATAAGACGGTGGGAGAGCTGCTGGAGGCCTGAGTCTCTAGAGCCAACAAGATGACAAAACCAAATGAAATATCTTCTGATAACATGCGTTACACTCACGTGACTGTGTGGCGTCAATACGTTTCAATATGATGACGCACGCGATCACACCACCGTGAAAAAGTGGAAACAGAGTGCTCCTAATTGTTTTACTTTTGCTGCTTTGTCTCCGAGGCGGTAATCTTGCACGAGCCCGAAAGCTCAGGCAACTTCGTTGACGGTTTCGGTGACCGTATACGCCACTTCTTCTTTTTCTTTTTCTTATTGTTCTATACGAAAAGGCAAAGCTGAGTACCATTCCGAGATAGAGGTCGAGCGATCCTTCCGTGGAGACTGGGTCTGCTTTCGTTGAAACTCCTAAGCTGGTCTAATTATGTGCTTGAAAGTGTTTTTTTTTCATGATTAAACAGATGTAAAAGCATAAACAAAAATGGGTAAAATACAAAAATAAAAACATTTATAAGACGTCTGTAGGAAAAGGGGACAATGTACCTCCTGCCATGTTGACAGCCGAAAATGCCGCGCCGTCTTACTAACCCGTTAGTCTATCGCACAACCGATGACCAACTTTGCAAACTGCCACTGTGTGCACACATGAGAACGTTGCTTTGACTCACAAGTGTTCTCTTCGGGCTAGAAGTATAAGGCTGTAGAAGCGTACCTTCTGTCAGGAAGAATTTAGCGAATTTAGCGAAGATTAGCGAATTCAAATTGAATTGAATCATAGAGCTTGCACTACACAGTAAGATAATTCTTGTACGCACAAAGTCCTCTAAAGCTGCTTCTCTTCTAAAATGTTTTCCCACTGGAGGAGACCGCAATTGGCTTTTATCTGCATTCACTTATACCTTGATTTTATTTGAAATGTTTTTTTTGAAATTGAAGAACCCGCTAACTTATTATCTTCTCCTCCCCCTTCTGTCTTTATCGAATATTGGTTTTCTGTTTCTTTTGTTTAGGGCAAGGACTCTTCCTTCATTCACAAATGTCACCAAGCGCACAAAAACAATCCCCACTACGGCATCCCCAAAATTTCCAGTAATTCTGAATTCCTGATCGTCCATTTTGCTGGAACTATCCCGTATGCAGTAAGTTATCACCGTTATCCGTCCTTTATGCACATTTCCTACTTAACAGCAATGATTGTCGGCCAGAGGTTTGGGTTGCCTTGATAGTTAAAGCATTTTCTTGGCTAATCTACACGAAAACCTCTTTTAGGTTGATGGACTGGTAGAGAAGAACCGAGATCGAATGCGCCCGGAGGCACTGGCCATGATGTGCAACAGTGGCGTCGAAGGCATCTCCTTTATGTTCCAGCGCATGTCGCAGGTCAAGAGGAGTAACCAACCAGGTGCCAAGGGACGCTCACCAACCCTCCTCGACAGCTTCCATTCTTCTTTGACATCTCTCATGGAGACAATGAAGACGTAAGTCTGGATAATTAGTGGGACAAGAACCATGAATGAGAAGTCGCCATCTTGAAAAGACGATTTTAGGCGGTGCCAAAGGCTTCCATCGACGAATTAAACCTCAACAAAAAGGGCATATAAGGGTTGCATTCTGCAGACATGCGATTCGACATTCGTCGAGGTAGTCCGTGCGTATTCTGCGAATTTTATGGTAGCAATTACCTTCTGTACATGGGCGCGGCACTAAAAACAGAACAGACCTCAAGGAGGGAGTATGCAATGTGAGCAACTACTCTGATATCATGGTCATTGGTTCTGAGTCCGCTCTCTTGTGAGCGCAGACACCTGCAGGCCTCGCGATAGACGTTTCCTCTCGCATACATGGGCGATTACCGTTGCCGCTTGTGGTTACCGTTCATTCTGTCTTGCTCTAACGTTCTGCTACGTTGTGCTTCAACTGCTGCCACTGATAGTCAGGAACTTCGCCACATATCAGCTGACAACTACTCAACCAGTTTGATACACCTTGAA